GACCAGTTCATCGAGTATATTGGGACATTTCAAATCTTTCCATGGAATTAACTTTCTACCGCCAACTTTCCAGGCTCGATGTACACGGATGCCGTTCTTTTCAAAACCAAAATTATTGACATCTTCGAGAAAGTTGCAGTCGATTCTTTCTCGCTTCGCAGCAGGTCACATTCAAATGCTTGTACACCTTTCACTCCATTGTACGAATGACAGGCTTCGACAAATTCAGCCGCGTTCGTTACGTTATGCTTTTCGTTTAAATAACGCCGAACGTTTCCTTTAATGACAGCTGCATAACGATCACATGCTGACTTCCCTGCTTGAGGATCTGAAAAGTCGATTCATTTGATTTCAACTTTCGACTCAATGGAGACTTATCGAGTGATAACAGCCGGCATTATCTGCGCGTAGAAATGAGCGCTTGATGAATTGATTTTCATCCTTTACCGGTTTTAGTACATCTTGAAGAATAGCGACGATAGCTTCGCTGTCCTGCGAACAGTGATTCATCACATGGACAAAACCCATCCAAACGATACTACGTATAGAATATATATCTTTTGATACAGCTGCAACGGTTGAACAGTTGTGAGACAATAACAACGAGAAGTGATTTGTTTTTTCCTTTTTATTAACCTGACCGGTTTCAAATTCTTCTTCAGAGGTTAACAAAAAACTGTATGAAATTAAAAGGAAGGTCTCTTCTTTTATATATACAAAAAAATATTTTTATACGTCGATATAAACTAGATAAAAAATGATGTAATTGAATGGAATGTTTTTCGATGTTCTGGTGAATGATCTTTCTGCACATGATAGAATGTACACCTGTTTTCGTTCTGTTGATATGCATCTGTTATTTGTTTTCTTACTTGCCTAAGTAATTTTGTTGTCTAAAAATGTCCTTATACTCCGGTCCCAGAGTCAATTTTCATACTCATGATTTTAAGGTGCAACCTGTCTTGGCTGCCCTTGCTGTATTACCGATTCCATTCGTCTGAACTGCTCGTATTGTTCTATTGGTATAGTGTATACCGGTGGAATCTGCGGAATTTGTTGATGTGCCGACATCATCTTTCGTAATAAGGTCAGTTTTTTGAATTTACTTGTCAAAGCAAATTTTACAATAACATATGCCAATATGAGAGCGACTACCACAATACACATGATTAATGTAATATCTCGCCATGTCGGGTGTACCCGATGGGCAAGATCTTCGAGTTGTTTTCGATGCTCATCTAGGCGTCTGCCTACTTCATTATTGATAACTACATGTAACGTCTCTTTGTGTTTATCATTGACTTGCTGCACCGTCTGTGCGTGAGAATCATGTTTATTACCTCCAAAAAACATGTTCAATTTTTATTCAATAATCAATACTATATGAATAAATGAGTATAGACACTCATGTCTGTACTGAAGCGAACAATAAAAGAGGCAGACGTGCTTTCTTGATCTGTTTCAGATATACTATGTCTTTTGCAAATATTTGTAATCTTTTCAATGACGACGACAAATGTATCAGTTTTGTGGAAGACGAGCAGCATAATGTTTGCTTATGTGGACACAAGAAACATAAACGTTACTTTGGTACGTAACAATAAAACTTTTAAGTAATATGCAAATTTCTGCAAATAAAAAGAATTTTTCCTCAGAAATCCCCGAAATGAAACAATGAATGCTAAAAGCAGAACAAAACAGTGTAATATATATTTGCCACTTTATTCTGTGCTACTCTTTTGTCGATTTCCTGTTGAATGACGTTTTTATTTAGAGTTTCTGAAATAAGTATTCGAACACTGCACAGAGTTTTTTTGTGGTCTCAATATCTCTTGGAATAAAAGAGATGAGAAAATTATTTTTTATTATTGGATAGAGCAGAGTGTGCTCTATATTTCTCTTCTTGAAAAAAATTTTAACTGCCTTATATGAGTCTATAACGAGCATTCTTTGACATTGAGTCGATCTTTGGAACACAGGTATTTGGACAGTTTCTTTTCTGTATGACTTTTGATATTTCTGAGATTAGAAATCGCTTCTCAAATACAACATTCAGAGGAGTAAATTTGCAGAGGAGTAAATTGGTATAAATAGAGGAACGGTTTGTTCACGTCACCTATGATGACATCATCAGTCAAAAGAATTTCGTATAATATACAGCCTGACGACTTGTCCACGTGACGCAACGCTTCGCCGATCAAGCTTTTCTCAATTTTTTTCATCAGAAAATCGATAGGGGTACATCACTGGACGTAGTTTTTCATGCTGATCGCGAATCTGATTTTTTTAGAAGAAAACATTAATTTTAATATAAAAATTCTTATTTAAAATTTTTATGTCTTCTTATTTTTGTAACTTTGAGCTGACAATGAACATTCAGAGCTTTTCTTGTAAATTCTATAACTTTGCAAAGAAAGGTCATGTAGAGCTGGGAGATGACTCGTTTTAATCAGACATGTGCGCGCTACAATCATGCCTCACTAAGAAAAATGTTGGTTATTTTTTGCAGTTTCTGAAAAACTGATTTATCAGAAAATCGGGCCTTCAAAAGCCATGAATCCGAATCTTTTTAACGTTTTTAATAGCTCCATATACTCTATCGATTGAGGTATAACTCATTAGAGACGCAGGGTATCAGCTCGGACAGTTCCCTCGTCAGAGACTTTTTCGAACTTTATTTTCAACTACACAGAGAGCATAACGGGCGCATTCCCGTTTCAAAGCAGTTTCAAGGTTAAAGTAACTAAAAGTCATAGCCTATCATGATGGTATAGTGCTGGCAAACTTGGTGGATTCCCTAAGTCACCTCTTAATGGAGTATCAACGAAATGTCAAAAGAAACATGGTTTTATTACCAGTTACAGTACACGTAGGATGATGATAGTTTGCTTTTGTCTGGCCTTTATGTATTGTCAGGAATAAGATTTATAAAGGCTTTAGTCAAAACTATTTCGTCAAAAGTACTTTTTATCAAGATTGATCGAGTACTCCAGTTGTACTTGGCCATTTTCTGTGTAATATCTCCATTCACGAAATTTGACTATGCACACATTTAATGATGGCATTGTTCTTTGTAGATATGTAGAAAGGAAACATACTTTTTATATTACAATCCTCTTCAAATAAATAAAGATAATCATTGTGTTTTTCACATGTTATGTGGACTGGTTCTGAATGTCAGTCGACTGTGACCATTATAATATCGCAACAACTGCCATTCTTATGCTAACATAAACATGTGCTGCTTCTGCAAAATCTGATTTGCATACCAATTACTCTCGGCTTTGTGATAAATACAGTTACTGCACGCCAGGACTCGATGAAGAAAATCAAGTTACTATTCATACATAATTTCAAAAGTTGGATGCAGTTAGATAACATTCATTTACTCAATTGATATGTGGAACTGCCAATTCATTATATGGGGTAATAAGAATAGGCGATTGCTGACCGACTGTTATTATATTTTAGAAAAAATCCACATAATATGTGAAAAGCACAATGATTATCTTTATTTATTTGAAAGGATTGTAATATAAAAAATACGTCTTCTTTCTACATATCTATAAAGAACAATGCCATCATTAAATGTGTGCATAGTCAAATTTCGCCAATTTTGGGGAAAGCTCTTATAACTCTTGTTCCGGACAAGGCATAAAGGCCAGACAAAAGCAAACTATCATCATTATACGTGTACTATAACTGGTAATAAAACCATGTTTCTTCTGACATATGGTTGATACTTCATTAAGAGGTGAGTTAGGACATCCACCAAATTTGCCAGAACTATTGCGTACTTTTTTGAGCATTGAGAAAAATTTTGGCAGAACATCGCAAATTCCTATAATAAGGCTAAAATGTTTTTTTTCAAAGTATTAAAATACTTTTGGATGATTAAGCAATAATGACACGAGTAAAGTAACATTACAAATGGGACACGAGTGAAGAATGTAGGATAGCAAAAAGCAAAGATATCAGAGCTCCGTAGAACTGGACTAAGTCCTTAGTCCAGTCTAGTCCAATCCACATGGACTGGACTGAAAATGTTTTAAGACTCGGGCTGGACTGGACTCGAAAAAAAGTTTTGGATTCACTTGAATCGAGGAATAATCAGTAAGAACCATAGTGTTTTTGTATTTTGGACTGGACTGGGCTAGAGTTTTTTAGTCCATGGACCAAACTAGACCCAGAATTTTGAGTCCATACGGAGCTCTGGTAGATATACGCAGTACTGCAATAATTCTAGCAAAAAACAGAATAATTCGACTAAAACCCGCGTCTTTCACAATAGCAGCATAATGATACTGATCCGGCTATCAAAAGTCTTCGAATTTGGTCAGTTTCATTTCTGCAGTAAAGCTGGCTCGTAATTCGGCGTGGTGGATTCTGCTCAAATCACGTGAGATCTGACACGAAATTCTCCGGAATTATCAGAGTCACTGTGCAGCCTGGGATCCGCCAGATTCTAGATCTGTCCGAACTATCGACCTGAGTCAAAATGAAGTATCCAGTTTAGTATTATTCTCCTAAAATTTCCTGGTCATTGACAAAGGTTATTTACATTCTTTACCGAGCAATTTCAACAAGCTCATTTCTCTACAAGATCTGAAATTATTCATTTATTCTGACACGAATTGTACAAAGTCAATATTTTATTTCCAAAATACGGTCCATTTACGTAGCCACTGACGCCTCGTAGAGTAAAACTGGTAACGGAAGTTAATATGCCAATACCCGTATTAGTATTATACCCATCTATCCATGGGCCACCCGAACTGCCTGAGTGCATGGAACAGGCTATTTGCTGTCCAGTATAGCTGCTACCAACAGACGAAACCGACGTTTTACTCGCACAATAATCCATAATTTGCCCATTATAATAATTTATAGGGTAACCAAATGCATAAATATAATCCCCACGAGCATAGTTCCACCTTCCAATATTCAAATATCCAACCATGATCAGCGTCGATGGGACTACGATAAAGACAATGATTACGTCATAAACGAATGAACTCACCAATTCCTTGTGAACCAACAATCTTAGCAATGTGTTTATTATTTCTTGTGTTCAATAATACAATACAAATGTCATAATTAAAGTCAGCATTTTCTGACCATCCAGATAACGCATACTGAGAACGAGCTGTCCATGTTCCATGGATTGCACTTGCACCTTTATTATATTGAGGCATGAAAACCCATTTGGAATTGACTGTCCATGCTTTCGTAGTCGTATTGTAACAGCAATGACCAGCTGTCACAATAGCATCATTATTATTTGCAGTTATGATAGATGCAGAACACCAATAGTTATAAATTCCTTCAGTCCACAAAACTCGACCGACAGTCGCAGGATGCAACTTAGATGTAACCGCCGTTCTATTAGCAACTATTTTACCACGAATCGTCGTTTTCTTCCCACTAGAAGCCACTAGATGCAACAGCGACTTTTCTGTCAACGTTTTATTATAGGGATGTTTTTTTGGTATTGCTGACGCCAGTCGATCTGCAGTCCAATAATGTTCAATCAGTTGATTGTGTGAGTCGACACCAAGACTTTTCCCGAGTAATAAATGAGCACTCACAACTTTTTGATCGTCGGCAGTTGTCAAGCATATGATGATGCAGAGCACAACTTGCAAGAATAAAATTCTATTTTTCATTATGCAGACGAATAAATTAATCCTGTGGCAGACGTATCAATCGATAATAATCTGGATGAAAACGTTTGACTGTTTGCAAGCTGAATGGGCTTTATGTATGAAGAACTACCTGCAGGGATATGACTAGCTATCCCAGTAGGCTGGTAAAAGTCAGAAATGAGTGCAAACTTTTTTTTGACATTCACCTATAAAGGGACATTTGTAACGATAAGGTTGGCAATTGCGTTAATATTGCGTTGGCGATATCATGTATCAACTGTGCATGCAGTTGTTGTACTTTATCTGGTTGATTGGTTCTGCGATTCAACTGTACTTAAAGTGTATCGTCAAAGCAATCTTTCATGTTGCAAACAAACGTACAACTATATAACATGAATCGATCATTTCAATCAGTTCTATATAAAATTAGAAAGTAACTTTTCACCTTACAAGATGTTTGGTATATGCGCTCTGACATTTAAGTATATGCGATAGATGTCCTTTTCGAATCATCAGTTTCGTAGTTGCTTTAATGATACGTTATGTTCATAATAGCAATGAACGACTCATTGTACTTGGGAAGATTTAACTATACACGAACTCTTCAAAGGATGAAATAACGTTGGCGTGTCATATTTTAGAACCAACAGATCAATGAAACAAAATTATCAGTTATTTATTAAAAATGCAGAAGAAAAGATTGAATATGTTTGATCCTTTATCAATAATCAATGTAATGTGACTGTATATAGTGTTTCTCTTACCCATACAGCACAAATAATGTCGTGCATTCGTGACTTTTTAATAGAGAAAGTATCTCCTGTATTCAGCTACATGTGCCACATACAGGTAGATCGATTCACTGTGTAACTGGGAGACCAAAAATATGAGGAAGAGTACACGAAGCACAACCATTACTCATAATAAAAGAAACATTTTTTCCCATGGATTAAAATTGGCGAAGATTAAATTTAAAGTTTGATGAAAATTAAGAGTTCACCAAACGTAAGATTGTTGGTATTTACGATATATAGTTTCTGTGGCTACCACGGGCACTCAGCATATTTTACTTTCTACTACAAGACAGAAATGAATCTATCAAAATCTTGCTTTGTTTCAGGTAACGATGAAGAACATTTAGTTAATGTTCTTGTTAGTCCATCTGTATTTTGGTTACGTCGTCGGACAAAAATATCAGTCGAATAATGATAATGACTCTAGCAAAAGCGATGCAACTCCAGGCATCAAAAGCGTTGCATGCCTGATTGTAGCCTACACATTTCTGATTAAAATGAGACATCTTCCAGCTCTACACGAACTTTCTGTGCAAAGTTATAGAGTTTACAAGAAAAGCCATTCTTCTTATTTTTGTAGCTTTGAGCTGACAATGAACATTTAGGGCTTTTCTTGTAAATTCTGTAACTTTGCAAAGAAAGATCATGTAGAGCTGGGCGATGTCTCATTTTAATCAGAAATGTGCAGGCTACAATCAGGCATGATTAAGAAAGGTTTTGGTTATTTTTTAGAGTTTCTGAAAAACTGGTTTTCCAAGGACCGGGATCTCCAGAGACCTTTGCAGGAAAACCATTGTGATATTCGGATTCAGCATGGCCGATTACCTGTCATGTTTCGTCTCAAAAGTGATGGGACAGTTGGTGGTCTTCCCTCGTTAGTAAGTTGTGTTTTATCGTACGTTTTACTATCTCTTCTGATGTTATTGGCTATTTTCCCAATATTTCTCGTTAGCGTAATTGGATAATTACTGTTTGTGAGTAGGGGTGGCACATTTTCTTTACTGATGCGTTACTTTACTGAGTAAAGCAACGCTTTCAAATATCACCGTATGAGTGACGAACAACCGAAAATGTATTGTTTTATCACCTTGCAGACACAATGCGACTAAAGCGTTACTATATTATGCGTTACTGGTAACGAGTAACGCATGCGTTACTGCGTTACCTATAAAGAAACGGTAAAGCGCCACCCCTAGTTAAAACAAAACATTTTTTGTGAAAACTGTACTGAAAAAACACACGCAGTATGAGGCAAAAAAAACAGATTCTGCAATAAAAGAGAAAAGCACAGCTTTTTGTTGATTTTTGCGCGAAAAATACTGCGTAAGAAAACGCATGTAAGGATCATGCGTTTTCTGGTGTTGCGTTAGTGTGGCCAAAAAGTGCCAAATAACGCACATTTCTGTAGAAATCTTGAATAAAAAATTTACATGCGTAGTATAAAGACGATTTTCTCTATTAACATCTTTTCAGAATGCTTTATTGAGATGGCACGTTTCATACGAATTACTTTTTGATCCTTTCTCAAAACGGGTAGCAAAATCGACTTTTTGGGATGTTAAAAAATTCACTACTTCGACAAAACTTGTCCAACTCACAAGTTATTTGAGAGATATCCTTTACTATCTCCCATAAAATGCCAAAGTTGGAGATATATTAGAGAGGGATGAAGTCCGGCTCCCTCTTAAGTAGAAGAAATCAGCACTAGCATCTCATCCGAGTCCTGACTAAATTGCACCCGACAGAAAATCCGAATAAAACTTCTGCTCTTAAAATTTCACCAAATTCTAATGAACGTATTTGACTTGAATGATTATATTTTTACTTGAAATAGTCTTATACATGCATAACATTTTCCACAATGAGGATCAATTCTGCTATTATAATTTAAACATACCTTCTTGATCTTGCGTTAGAGAAGCTTCAAATATTTGATTATTAAACCACATATGTGCTATCATCATACGATTTTGTGTTATTATTCCCGTTTTTTCTGTACATATTGTTGATATTGAGCGTAATCTTTGAATAGTATTTAAATTAATGACTGCACAGTTTTTTGCTGTGATTCGTTTAACTGTTAATATTGAACAAACCTAATTTTTAAACAATAAAAGATCAAAATCAATTAAGAGCCCCCTCCCTCCGAATACTTGATCCAAAAGTGGTTTTGGGTCAGACATTCGATTTTTATTTAACCACTAGCGGAAGTACCCGATGTCGGTCTAGATAATTTGATAGTACATGTTTGACTATCAGTATGAGAAGACGACGTCGCTGTGGTCTTCTATCGATTACCGATCGGGGATATCGCACAATACGCTTGGATCTTTTCCTTCTCAACTTTTAGTATTTGATATTTTGAGATTTTCATAAATATCTTTTTTCTTTTCAATTTTCTTTATAAAACTACTTTTAT